CTAAGTTCTCCCACTTTTTTATCAATCTGGACAACTACTTCTGACAAGCCAGTCACAACTGTCAGTATGTCTCGTTTCATCTTGAAACTTTTCTTGAACCACCTCCTTAATTTCCTGTTGAGATTTTTCAAATTTCTGGTCCAAAACTTCATTTTGATTCATCAGAGCCTCAGCAATGAATTCCTTCAAATCTTTGAAACCAGTCTCCTGTGCTTGGCTCTGAGTCTGCAAACTTAATAGCTGCTCTTGTGACTTATGAGTGGGGGAACCCCCCCTGCAGCTTTAGCGGCTGGCTTTGTCTGCTTTGAAGCCATTCTGCCACGCAATCTGACTTTTTCTAAAAAGGAAGTCTTCCCTCCCTTTTTACCACCACAGAATCCTCTCAAAGATTTCCCCAGCTTTAATCAGAACAGATCAGAATCATTTAAAAAAAAACTTTTCCCTTTTCTTCTAGCCAGCACTGTTGCTTTAAATACTTTGTAGCGTAGTGAAACACTCAGGCAAATCCACTTTCGCTTTCAGCTTTATTTTACTGCCGCTGAAGCCGGACGCCATTTTAGCAAACTTTCACTTTTCTCTGTTCTTAAATTCTATCACAGGGCTGATACAAATATTTGCAGTTTTGAATTTCAAGTCCAGATTCCACCCTGTTTATTTTTAATAATTCTCTTGGATTTCACTAGTTAAGTTGGTCGTGTCGTCTGGCTCTGCTGGATGCTGTGGCTCCCGAGGACGTGGACAGGATCTTGGGACGGCTGAACGCCACCACATGTTTATTGGACCCGTGTCCCTCCTGGTTGGTGCTGGCTTCCCGGGAGGTTACACGAGGCTGGCTCCAGGGAATTATCAACGCTTCTTTGAGTGAGGGTGTCCTGCCGGCCACCTTGAAAGAGGCGGTGGTGAGGCCTCTCCTCAAGAAGCCATCCCTGGATCCGGCTGTTTTGGCTAACTATCGTCCAGTCTCCAACCTTCGCTTTATTGCGAAGGTTGTTGAGAGTGTGGTGGCGCGACAGCTTCCACAGTACCTGGATGAAGCTGTCTATTTGGATCCGCTCCAGTCCGGTTTCAGACCTGGGTACAGCACGGAAACGGCATTGGTCGCGTTGGTGGATGATCTCTGGAGGGCTCGGGATAGGGGTTACTCCTCTATCCTGGTCCTGTTAACCTCTCAGCGGCTTTTGATACCATCGACCATGGTATCATGTTGCGCCGGCTGGAGGGACTGGGAGTGGGGGGCACCGTTTTGTGGTGGTTCTCCTCCTATCTCTCCGACCGGTCGCAATCCGTGTTGACAGGGGGGCAGCGGTCGACCCCGAGGCGCCTTGTTTGTGGGGTGCCACAAGGGTCGGTCCTCTCGCCCCTCCTGTTCAACATTTATGTGAAGCCGCTGGGTGAGATCATCCGTGGTTTTGGGGTGGAGTTCCATCAGTATGCTGATGATACTCAGCTGTACATCTCCACCCCAGACCATCCCAACGATGCCTTGGAAGTGATGTCCCAGTGCCTGGAGGCCGTGCGGGTCTGGATGGGGAGAAACAGGCTCCAACTCAACCCTTCCAAGACCGAGTGGCTGTGGCTGCCGGCGTCCCGATATAGCCAGCTGACGCCATCGCTGGTTATTGGGGGTGAATCATTGGCCCCCCACGGAAAGGGCCCGCAACTTGGGCATCCTCCTGGATGCACGGCTGTCCTTAGAAGGGCATCTGACGGCCGTGGCCAGGGGGGCTTTTTATCAGGTTCGCCTGATACGCCAGTTGCGCCCCTTTCTGGATCGGGACTCCCTACGCACAGTCACTCAAGCACTCGTCACTTCTCGTCTGGACTATTGTAACGCTCTCTACATGGGGCTCCCCTTGGGGTGCACCCGGAGGCTCCAACTGGTGCAGAATGCGGCCGCGCGGGGGATTATGGGAGCGACTGGGCGCTCCCATGTGACTCCTCTCCTGCGCGAGCTGCATTGGCTTCCGGTGGACTTCCGGGTGCGCTTCAAGGTGTTGGTGACCACCTTTAAAGCGCTCCATGGCTTAGGGCCGGGGTACTTACGGGACCGCCTTCTGCCACCAATTGCCTCCCACCGGCCAGTTCGCTCCCACAGAGAGGGCCTCCTCAGGGTGCCGTCGGCTAGACAATGCCGGCTGGCGACCCCCAGGAGGAGAGCCTTCTCTGTGGTGGCACCTACCCTTTGGAACAATCTACCCCCAGAGATACGAGTGATCTCCGACCTCCGGACCTTTCGTCGGGCCCTAAAAACTCATCTCTTTCAGTTAGCCGGTCTCTCTTGATTTTATGATTTTATGGTTGGTTTTAAATTTTGATATGGATTTTAAATTGATAAATTTTAAACTATGGGCCAAATTTAATTATTTTAAATCTATTTTTAATCGTATTTATGTATAAATGTTTTTATTTTGGCTGTTCACCGCCCTGAGTCCGAAAGGAGAAGGGCGGTATAGAAATTCGAATAATAATAATAATAATGCAGAGTTGTCCCCGGAGTCCGGAGCCTCAGCGAGCTGGATAGGGAGCCTCACCCTGCTTCCTCCCCAAAAGCAAAAAAGACAATCTGGGGACTTCATAGGGGGCTCTACCTGGTCTCACCGGCTCTCCTCACGTACCCTGTGGAACACAGAGTTTTTCAAGCCGCCTTTATGCCCATGCAGCATTCTTAACAACCATGTCACTCATTTCACAATCTCTAAAACATGTACACCTGCAGCAGCATTCTTAACAACCATGTCACTCAACAACTGTGATAAGATAGGGCAAAAAACGTAAAATGTGAGGACAGTCGTAAGTTTGAGGATTGGTCAAAAGTGCGAGGACCAGTCAAAAATAACTTTTTCAGCCCTCTGAGTAGTCCATATGCACAAAAGGACTAACCAGAGGGCTGAAAAAAGTCATTTCTGACAGGTCCTCACACTTTTGACTGGTCCTCACACTTATGACCATCCTCAGATTTATACCCGTGCAGCATTCTTAACAACCATGTCACTCATTTCACAACTGCTTCTCTTCACCATGATGACAAGATAGGGCAAAAATGTAAAATGTGAGGACAGTCGTAAGTTTGAGGACTGGTCAAAAGTGTGAGGACCAGTCAAAAATAACTTTTTCAGCCCTTTGAGTAGTCCATATGCATAAAAGGATATAGCAATAGAGAGGGATGAAGGAAGGGAAGGGAAATTAGAGTAAGAGTGAGGGTAAGAGAGGGAGGAAGAGAGGAGGAGAAGGAGAAAGGAAGAGGAAGTAGGGAGGAGAAGAAGAGGGTGGGGGAAAGAGAAAGTAAGAAGGAAAGAAAAGAGAGAGGTGGTAGGTTTGAGGAGAAAGATTGCTGTACAATAAAAAAGATGAAAAGGAAGAAAGCCAACCCAAACAAATATAAAGATATTAAGATAAAGAATGAATTTATTTAAAGAATAAACTTTAAAGAATAAAAAAGAACAAATATGAATAAATAGCAATAATTAGAAACACACATACAAACATACAATGTATTTTCTTTGAACAGAATATTTGGCTGGTTCACATATTTAAACAGTGTTTAGTCATTTCAATTAAATTTACAATTTCTATATTTCCTTTTTGCCATATTTATTCCTCATCTATTTTTGCAAAAAACCAATATTACCCTTCATCTTCATCTCTAATCTTAATCAAATTCAATTTTTCCCTTCTATTCTATATTATACCCCTTCCCATTGTCATCTATTTTTATATCCATCCTCACATTGGTTAATTATGTAATTATGTAATACAGTTGTTTAATACAAATTCAACATTTTAATATAAATCAATTAGTTATATAACTATCTTTTTGTATATTAATCAATATGAACATGAATATTCCAATTATTTCCATGCAATCCAATTTCTTACAAATCAATTAATTATATTTACCAATAATAATAAACCAAATAATTTCCCCCATATATTCCTCCAAACCACAACTTAACCATTTCTGCTTTCAACACAATATACAATTAATAGTATCTCAATTATTACAATTCCCTAGTTAAATAGAGCTTTTTTCTTTTGTGTTTTAAAATCTTGAACTCTCCTCTTTTGCCCTAAATTTCCCATTGTTTTCAGTTTTGCACCTACCTTTTTTGGTGAGGAAAAAGAAAAAGAAATCTCTCTCTGCCTCATTTTGTCATGTTGCAGCAAAGACCCTGCTTTCGCTTTTTCAGCATAGCTAGGGGAAAAAAAATCCAGGAACTCTTTGCAGCTAGCAACAGAACAGAGCCCTGCACAAAACAGCTGAGAGCAAATCAGCTGAGGGTGGGGAAGCCGAGCTAATCAACTTGTGCTAATTAACCTATGCGGAAGCTGTAAGGGCTGTTTTTTCTATTTTTGCAGGCATCGGTCTACTCATTTGTTTTCTTTTAACACTGATCACCTGTAGGGCGGACCTTTGAAGCCCTGCGGCAAAAGTTTAAACAGTTTTTTTCCCTCTAGCCATCAGCTGGGACTCAGGAGGCAGCCGGGACTCAGGAGGCAGAATGAAAAATCGGGATTTTTTTAAAACGCCGTGGGACGTGGGACAAATTGCTAAAAATCGGGACTGTCCCACCAAAAGTGGGACGTCTGGTCACCTTACATATAAGCATAGTCCATATCAGTGGTGGGTTTTCCCTGGTTCAGACTGGTTCTATAGAACTAGTAGTAAAACCAGAGGGAGGCTCTGCCCACCGAATCTGACATATTCTGCGCATGCGCAGAAGAGTGTGTGTGTGCGTGAGCGAAGCGAGCATGCACGCATGCACGCACGGCCCATTGTGAACCGGTAGTAAAGGTAAGTAGAACCTACCCCTGGTCCATATGTATACATACATGCGTGTATGTATGTATCAATTACCTCCTTCCCTAATATGATGAAATACATGTATAATCTCTTTTGAATATCCACCTCCTATCAACTGGCATTTAGTATATGATGTTTTGTATCTTCATGTGGATTTTCTCTTGTTATTAATGTATAGCATGTATCTTATTTCTTGTAGAAATATTACAGCTTAAAAAATGTTCGAGGTAAGAACCTTCTTTTATTCTGAAGGTTGAGTAATCCAATTTATTGGATAATGTATTGTAGAGTCTCATAGCAATATCATCCACTTTCTTTTGTCGGAAACTGAGCTAGAATAAAACATTCATCATGGAGATCAAAAACCCCAATTGTCCTGTTTTGAAATTTTATTCTGAATATTGGATAAATGGATATAGGTAAAAGGGGGCATTTTGTTTCATAAGGGATAATATTGTGTCTGCAAGCTGATAGTTAGGTGGAATAATTGAAATATTTCTTAATGTTACAGTTGCTAATATTAAGTTCCTTGGTGTTAATGAAAATTGAAGAAAGTTCTCAGTGAGTGATACCTGCTTCCTAACAACCAGGATGGAGATTTTGTTTCAAGATCTATGTTTGTTTAATTATGTCTTTGAAAGCTGATTTGTTATAGAAAGCTAGTTTGTTATAAGAAGTGTAGGTTGTGTGGTGTGTAACAGGGATTATTACCTCCACTATACTTATGGCCTTAGAACAAACAAACAAACAATGATTGAGAAACAGATTTGATTTAAGTTTCCGTTGTTCCATAAAGTCAAAATATTACATTTTGGATTACATTGGAACTACTTTGTTCAAAGTTTGCAGTAACATTTTAGCAATGCTCATCCCTAGGATGGAATCGAATTTTACATGGAGATTTGAACCATATGAAATCTAGAATACTATCTGATAATTATTTATTTAACAATTAATGCCATACCAGCAGGTAGCTAACTCTACTCTATTTTCTCCCAGAAAGTGAAAAAAACAAATCTGAAAAAGGTAATTTTATAGTTGCTTAGTATTTCTTATTTAATATATGAATTCCTTTCCTCTTTATTCCAATTTCAAAGCAATAGAATAGTAAGTAGGAATAGTAAGAATATCAATATAAATAATAAACCTAAACTTAATTATTAAATTGTTTAATATTAAAATTGGGGTGAAATTTGCTTGCTTTTATTATTGTCTTAAATGGGGAGAGGACATCTCTTTAGGGAGCATATTTTATATCCTTGGAGCCAACATAGGAAAAAATCCTTTCCTGAGTAATTAATATTTCAACTTCTGGTGGTTGGAATATCTTCAAAAAGGTCTCTCTTGTTGATTTGATTTTTTATAGCCTATGCCATTCAGAGTTTTAAATGTCAATAGTAACAATTTTTACTACTGGTTCTGTGGGTGTGGCTTGGTGGACATCACTTGGTGGGCATGGCAGGAGTAGGATATTGTAAAATCTCCATTCCCCCCACTCCAGGGGGGAAGATTACTGCAAAATCCCCATTTCCTCCCGATCAGCTGGGACTCGGGAGTCAGAGAATAGATGTGGGCGGGGCAGTCAGAGATAGTATTTACTGGTTCTCCGAACTACTCAAAATTTCTGCCACCGGTTCTCCAGAAATGGTCAGAACCTGCTGAAACTCACCTCTGGATGGTAACCAAGAAGAGCAAAGCTGACCAAACAAGAGTTGTCCAATATTTCTCCATGTTTCCTTTCTGCATTCCTGAAATCAGTAAATAATCCATGTGAACCTGACCAGCATTTACCAGTGTTATGAAGTGTCCTAATGCTGGAGTCCAAGTTGAAGTAAATCTAATCTGTTTTTTTTTCTGCAAAGAATGATGAAGATTGCTCACCAATAATTTCTGACTGTTCCAGGTCCTCTCTCAATCTCTTGTTAGAGGAAATACTGCAAAGTATAAAAGGCAATTGCAGGCTATTTCTGTGAAATTACACAGTGGGAGACAAAGACACCTTTTTCACTGTAACCACTACTATAGAGATAAATGTTAGATAAGCCTGAAATGGCCCTACTCTGTATTTAGTCTGATCCATGATGGGAAAAACTTAATTTGTGTTCCACTGTATGTCCATTGCTATGAGCTATCTGGCAAATCAAAATGCTAGTTGAGCAATGCTAGATTGAAGAAAAAACAGTTAATGTCTATTCTGGGCCATCTCTGCATTCCACAGAGCTTCCAAGTCTGCAGCAGTATTGCTAACAGAGAAACAAGATATTACTTAAGTTCCATCAAATGCCTCATCTGAAATATTTTAATGAGTCTATCATCCCTGATGGTATTTAATGGAACTAGCAATTTAAAACTGACATAAAGGAGTTTTCCTGTTTTTCATTGATTCTTCAATTTGTTTATTTATAGAGTTGAAAGAAGCAGAAGAGAAATTTGGTAAGGGAACAAATTCTAATGTAATTTTCAGTTGTTGGCGAATGAATGGAATTACAGTATATCCAGCTATTTTCAGACTTCATCTTGAATAATGCTTAACTTAATTCCATTATAAATTTAATTTCCGTATGACATAAATAGCACTAATGCTTAGGAAAATGATGAAAAGAAACCCTAACTACACTTGTATGTAAATAAGATGGTATCTTCATGTGTATATGTTTGGATATATGTAAAAGTTGATTGTAGTTCTTCCAAATTGTTTTTCCAAAAACATAAATAAAGGCATTTGTTCATTAGTACTGGTCTTAACCATGTCTGGCACAGACAGAAGAAACATTCCTCTCTCTATAGTTGGATCTATTCAGAAGTTTTAGAATGCATGCAATATATCATATAATGATGTTTCATATAGCAAGCTCTACTCTTTTTGTCACTGAATGGAAAGTTTAGTGAGAGAGAATTGAAGAGTTCTTAAAATGCATTATGGGCATGTTAACCCTTCCAAAGATTTAAGATACATATTTTATCTCTGCTGTCCCAAAACTAGAGGTTCTAAAAGTACAATTAAGGCTACATCGCCAGCATTGATTGAGAAAAATAGAGTCTGTTTAACTGAATTTAGCAAAACTTCCTATAGTACTTCTTTTTTTGCTAATTTTTAATTCTAAATCCTTCATATTGGTTGCTATATCTTTAGTATTTTTGTCAGAAGCTTTTCAAGTATAATTATACTTTTTTTCTTTTTACAACCATTGTAATTATACTATTACAATCAATGTAATATTGGATGTTTCTTTTTCAGCAAATGATTCAATGGAATTAGGTGAGTTATATAGATCCTACTTGGTTTCAGCAAGTAATAAATATAAAAAAATAAATATAAAATATAAAAAATATATAAATACTTTGGTAATAAATATGAAGTCCTTGAAAATTTCATCATTCTTATTTATTTGATTGATTTATATTGCAGATTTCAGAAGGGCATCATCAAATGCAGGTATATTTATTTGTGAATATAAGACCTCTAGTAATTGAATCCTATCAAAAATTATAAAGAATCTGTATTAAAAATGCATGTAGCGGCTAACATGGAAAGAGCATATGAGAAATGAGGAAATTCATATAGCTGGATAAGGAAAAGAAAGAAAAAATATAATTCAAATGATTAGTAGTCACCCCATCACATTTTATTTGGGCTTAATTCCAATAAGAAATTACACAATAATTTCATTAATCTCATATTAATGAGTCTCAATTAATCTCGTATTAATGAGTCTCAATTAATAGAGACCTTGAGGATATAAACCCCCCCAACCATTTATTTTAGTTCAGAACCAATTAAAGGGAATTAGAGAAAATGTTTATTTGAAAAACTTCAGTATGCTTTCCATTCATAAAACTAATTGTTGAATCAAGGTGTTAATACTTAAGTTTAGTTCACCCAGCTGATTTAATGTAATGGAGGTTCCAATATTACATTGAATTGGAACTGTGATTCTAGATTAAAATTATTTTCAAATAAAATCTGTCTGAGTAAGTTAAGATAAAAAGGGTTTTTTAATATTAAGAAATAAAGAAATATTTTTACTTAAAATATTTTATGTATTTGGCAGATTATGTGCAAATGTAGTGGTGGTCCTATGAAGCCAGTAGGCTACATATTAATCACACTTGTTGTAATTGGACAGTTAATTGAAACAGAATAGGAAAAGTAACAATCAGCATATAAATAAATATAAATATAATATAAAATGTTTACACTATATTATTGTTTCTTTAAGAATTTGGTATTAATTATGATAATTTCAGTAAGTTTAGGACATATGTAAAAATTTGGAATATGCTAACAGCTAAAAATAAAATATTAGTATTTTAAAACACTAAGATACTCTTAAAAATACAGCATTCTAAGTCAATCTGATTAATTGAATTTATAAAATGTTTTTTAAATGTATGGATTTCTAGATTTTTATTTATTAGAAAGAAAACTTAGCAAAATACATATTTAGATATTATTAGTGAAGTATATTATTATTGTTGTTCATATATATATATATATATGTGTGTGTGTGTGTGTGTGTGTGTGTGTGTGTGTGTGTGTGTGTGTCTTTCGTTATTTGGGTTTTCTCCCACGTGTTACAGGCCCAACTTTCTCAGGTTCTCTATTATTACAGCAGACAGATTACTACAGCAGACAGATAATAATAGAGAACCTGAGAAAGTTGGGTCTGTAACACGTAGCCAAACAGCCAGGATGAGAAAGCAGGAAGAAAAACTGCTGTTCTCCAATCACAACATAGAGTTACAGGCTAACCAGCATACGTCAGCAGGAGCAAACATAGAAAAGCAACAGCTCCGACCTCGCAACACACCCATAGCTTCTAAACTAGATAAGAGTCTGAAGATGACAGGGTTGTGAGCCTGTTGAAATGTTGCTATAAGAAAAACTTTTAAGGTACTGGGAGAATTTTAGCTAAGGTTTTAAAAGACCTTGCAGAGTGCTCTGTAAGGATTTTTAGAAGATTTTAAGTTAGGATTTTAACTAGAATTTTAAACATTTTAACTAACTTATTTAACATGACGCGGGAAAACACCCGAGATTTTAATTTTTTGCATGTATGTATGTATGTCTTTGGTTATTCGGGTTTTCTCCCGCATAAAATTGGAAGTGTTCTGGCGACATTTCGATGAAGTCTCATTCGTCATTGCTCCTAGGAACATTGCTCCTAGAAGCATGAAGCCGAAAACACCAGCCTGAAGATGATGAATGAGACTTTGTCAAAACGTCACCAAGACACTTCCAATTTTATGCAGGAGAAAACCCGAATAACCAAAGACCTACATACAAATACTTGCGCAAACCTCAGAAAACAAATATCGTACCTCTACGGGGAGGATATCCACCATCTGACCAGGACCTATGAAAAACTTGAAGTCCAACGAGCTTCCATTTTATGTGACCTTGCATTCCTATGCAACTGCGGTGATCAAAATTTAATCCCATGCTTCCAATTGAAATACCACTCCAACTCCGCAGCCACCAAACTCATCCTGAAAAGAACAGAATTGGCCCTAATCAGAAATGAACTTCACACAAAAAGATTCCTCCTAGACTGAATCAACAAAGATCTCCTCACACTTCACCTCAAACTCAGCAACAAGATCCATCCCGCACTTTGGGACAAATCCAAACAACTCTCCGTCTGGATAGCCGAAACACAGACCACCCTCAAGACAGATACACACACCAACAAACTCCGAAGACTACAAGAACCCCAGAAACAAACCCCTCCCCCCCTCACAGCCACACATGAAAAAAACAGTGCATAACATCTCAGATAGGATCCTCACCAAAGCTGAAACCAATGTCCTTTCCAAAGGATTCAACTTTGCAGTCACTCCCAAACACATCCCCACTGAAACCATTATATGCAGAGCTGAAAGCAGCCTGACCAAAATCAACCCCGATGATGCTAACAGAATCAGACTCGAAATCACCAACATCCTCTGCACCAGCAAGCCACCCAAAAGCAATTTACCCAAAGAGGAACAGACAGCACTACTTAACCTGAAAGAAGACACCAGCATAATAATCCTACCAGCAGACAAGGGAAACGCCACGGTGGTTATGAACACATTTGACTACCAAACCAAATTAACCAACCTACTCCAAGACTCCACATACAAACCCCTAAACACAGATCTCACCATCTACCTGGAAAAAACCACTAGATCCAAAATAAAAGCCTCCCCCATCAGCGAAGACATCCAGCAAAGAATCATTCCCAGAGAGAAATCATCCAGATGCCCTAAGCTCTATGGTCTCCCCAAGATACACAAAGAAGGAACCCCACTTAGACTCATAGTCAGCTCCATAGTCTCACCTCTGCAAAACCTAGCCAAATTTCTCGCCAAACAACTACAGCCCTATGCAGAATCCATCACCTCACACGTAAAAAACTCCAGTTCATAGAGATCATAAAGAAACAAAACTTACAGCCCAGCGACCTACTAGTGAGCTTCAATATCATATCCCTCTTCACCCAAGTGCCAATCAAAGAAGCCTTGACAGCTATCCAAAACAAATATAACCCCCCCAAGCACATCCTAGATCTGACCAACCACTGCCTAGCCAACACATACTTCATCTATAATGGACAAAAATACAAACAAATAGAAGGAGCACCCATGGGATCACCCCTCTCATCTGTCATTGCAAACCTCTACATGGAACACTTTGAAACCCAAGCTCTAGAAAAATCTGATCACAAACCCAAACTCTGGCTCAGATACGTAGATGACACCTTCATAATCTGGCCACATGGGAAAGAAAAACTGGACAACTTCCTCACACACCTCAACAGCCTACACCCCAAAATACAGTTCACCATGGAAACAGAAGCTAACAACCAACTTCCCTTCCTGGATGTCTTAGTCTACAAGAAATCCAATGGCTCCCTAGGACACACCATCTACAAGAAGGAAACACACGCAAACCACTATCTGCACGCATTCTCACACCATCACCCAGCACAAATCAACTCCGTAGCCAAGACACTCATCTCCAGAACAAAACACTTAGCTGACAAAACACACCTAACAACCGAACTACACACTCTCACTAATGTACTAACATCCAACGGATTCCAAAGAAATAAGATGACCAACCTAATCCAAAAAGAAACCCCCACTAAAATCCAAGACAGAGAACAAGAAAACGGTAAAGCCCTCCTCCCATACAAAAAAGGCACCACCGACAGAATCAGCAAGATCCTCCACAAACACAACATCAAGACAGCATTCTGCACAAACCGAAAAATATCCACCATCCTAAGACAAAGACAAAATTGAGTTAGAAAATCAAGGAGTATATGAAATCCCATGCCCCGCCTGCCCCGCCACATACATCAGACAAACCAACAGAAGAATAAGTGCACGCATTGGAGAACACAAGAACTCAGTCAGAAAAGAGGAACCAACTTCTTCCCTGGTCCAACACCTTAAAGCCACAGGACATGATATTGACTTTAAAAAGACCAGAACTATTGCCAAAACTGAACACTTTAACAACAGAATAATCAGAGAAGCCATCGAGATAGAAAAATACCCATACAGCATGAATAAACAAGATGATACCTCCTGCCTACCAGCCATTTGGAAACCCGCCCTCATTGACAAACGAGTCCCTAACACAAAGAATGACACCAGACCCACACTCACGAAAACCACACAGGATGTCACTACCGCACATCCACGCAAAAAGCAAACCCACACCGTGAGGCACAACCACAAACCAGAAGCCAGACCACAGCTGCATCTATAGCCACTTTAAACCCCTCCAATCCATACATGAAGCAAACTGACACCCACCATGAAGAAGTGGCACGACCACGAATGCAAAGCCAAACAACAGCAACACAGCTCACCAGCTCAAATCCCCCTGCAACTCAGACTAACCCGAACACAACCAAGCCCCCTCCTAAACAGAACACAGCTCCATCCAATCAGAGCATAGCCAACCCCCCATCCAATCAGAGCACAGCCAAACCTCCAACCAATCAGAACACACCTCCACCCAATCAGAACACAGCCAAGCTGCCATCCAATCAGTTCACACCCCCACTGGCAGTTAAAAGGAAGAAACAGCTGTGATCACACATTGCTCCTAGAAGCACGAAGCCGAAAACACCAGCCTGAAGATGACAAATGAGACTTCGTCGAAATGTCGCCAAGACACTTCCAATTTTACGCGGGAGAAAACCCAAATAACCAAAGACCTACATACAAACACCTGCGAAAACCTCAGAAAACAAATATATATCTTGGTGATGTTTCGATGAGGTCCCACTCGTCATCTTCAGGCTGGTGCTTTCGGCTGCATTCGCAGAGGCACGAAGCCGAAAGCACCAGCCTGAAGATGACGAGTGGGACCTCGTCGAAATATTGGCAAGATATTCTCAATCTTACACGGGAAAAGACCCGAATACACCAAAACTTGCATACTAATATAAATTGAGAGGTTTTTTTCTGTGCAAACAGATCTGTGTTATAATCCCAGCAATAGCAATTGGCAATACTAGTGAAAAAGGATACTAATAGTCATAATTCAGTGACAACTGGAGAAACTGTTTCCCCACTCCTGCAACACATAGTCACTTTCTTGAGAGATGGCTGGCTTTACAAATAAGATAAATTAAATAAATAAACATTTACATAAGTCATTAAACAGTAAAAGAACTCTTTTAATAACATTGTACATTGAACCATGTATGATTAATAATAATTTTCTGAGGGGAGAATGAAAAATGCTGACATATTGCATGATTGTAAACAGTTTACTAATTTGCAGAAATTCTTATGTGCAATTAATGTATTACAGAATTATAGTACTCTTTCTTTCTATTAATGATATTATTCTGTTTTCCTATTTTCTAGTTAATATCACTCTGGATCCTAAATGCACACATGCCAGGCTCAACATTAAAGACAAAAATAAAATCAGATTCCATCCATCTGATTCAGGATCAAAGGATCTTAAAGGAATTCCAATTGCAGTGGCTAATGAGGGATTTGATAAAAATAAAATGTATTGGGAAGTGGAAGTTGGAGAAAAAACAGATTGGGAGCTGGGAGTACTTTCTGGGGAGGCAAGAAACAAACTAGTACAAGAGAAGCTAGAAAAGCCACTGGAAGATGGATATGTGTCTATGAGATGGTTCAAAGGTCAATATTACTGTTCTGGAGGAAGTAGTATAATCAGCAGTGAAAATAAGGAATGCAAAATTGTAGGTGTTTACCTGGTCATGGATGGAGAAGAGCATACACTCTCATTTTTTGATGCTGAGCAAATGTATTCCATTCAGTCCATCCCTGCCAAATTTTCTGGGAAAATGTTTCCATTTTTCAATCCTGGGAAGGATGAAATGTATTTGGAAGTTCGCCCAGTGAATATCCCTTCATATAAAGTATCCCTTGGATAATAAGCTGAAGAACTCTATGATGCTTGCTTGTTTTTATAGGGATTTTTTTTTTGTACAGATTGATTTAAATGTGATATGGCCTTTCTTGATTTCTTTCTCCTATCCATAGGTGAAAGATGTTGAAATGTTTGATGCTTAGGTTCTGATGAATCTAAAAATGGTCCATGATGTTCCAGGCAACCAGTGAGGATTGTACATTAGGAACCCATCCCTTATGATTGATAATGAAACTTATTAATGAAGAAAACTTACTGCCGTAGTTTTAATTATATACATTTATTTCAAAATATAGTATAAAGATTTATAAACTCTCAGGAAACTATCTGTTGCAAAATATTGTTCAAATTCAAATAATGGTATAAAGCATTCTGTCCATTCTGGAAGCTGTACTTCCAAAAACTTGGCTTCTAATATCAGTGGAATAGGATTGCGGGCAGATTTGAAATGAAATATGGAAGTATACTACCATAAAATAAAATGCTGTAGGACAGGGTGAAATCTAAAATTTGTTACTACTAGTTCTGTGGGCGTGGCTTGGTGGTGGGGGGTTAATGTGACTGGATGGGCGTGGCCAACTTTTTTTTTTACTTTTAAAAGCATTTTTTCTACAACCTTAAGAGAAAAAAACCTGCAGAAAAAAAATGCTTTTAGAAACCTCTGATGATCAGGCAACTCAGCTGGGATCGCCAGAGGCTTTTAAAGGCATTTTTTTTCTACAGCCTCTTTGGCCGAAGAGGTTATAGAAAAAATGCTTTTAAAAGCCTCTGACGATCCCAGCTGAGTTGCGCGATCATCAGAGTTTTTTTTTTACTTTTAAAAGCATTTTTTCTGCCGAAGAGGTTGTGATGATCGCGTGGCTCAGCTGGGCATGGGGGGGGGCACTACCGGTTTTTGCTACTGGTTCTCCGAGCCACCCGCCGCCATCGCTACCGGATCGGGTGATCTGGTCCGAACCAGGAGCATTTCACCCGTGCTGTAGGACCTTCTTTGAATGACTATTGTAAGATTTTACACAATCTGCATTCATCAATAGCAAAAGAAGTCATGGCTATTGGCTTTTAGTCTAGGCTGTACACAATAAATATATTGATAGTTTGATTGCCTTTCTGTCCTGTTTTCAATGGGTTTTTTTGTTTTTTTTTGGTAAAATGTGATCCCAACTGGAATTTTTAAAAGGTCAGGAATTCTTTGTGAACATAGAAACTAGAGCTTGAATGTACAATCATTATGCCATTAAGCTATTTTATGTTCTGGTTAAAGCTTATTTTGTTTAATAAAAGACATTATTATCGGGGGGGGGAACTCTGAATGTGATTTATAAATTGCAAGTAGAAGTGGATTTGCGAAGGGACTTGAGTTTCCCATGCCTGTGCTTTAAACATTTTCACTCCGTCCTGCAAAAAACTGAGACTTTCTATTGCAAAGCATTTTCCCTTAATGAGAACACTAATTTTCCCTGTTTCATCCCATAGCTATAAACATCCCCTAATCAGTAAGTGTGAGAAACAAACACTAACTGTAGTTGTGCAGATAGATAGTAATGAAGACAAATTCCAAGGGATGCTTGGAGCATCAATTGGTAACACTTCTAGAAGACTTCCAGGTTTGATTCTTGACCACAGGGATAAAAATGAGGCAGTTTTATTACCTTTTTAAAGTTAAAGTGTTTTGGGATTGCTCCCAAGTCACCCATTATTAATCTCCGCATGCTGATCTTATTTTCTGATCTGATTGTCCAATAGCATCAAACTCTTTCTACCTGACCACAAAGGAAACTGCCCAAATAGCAGAGAAAAAAAATTCAGCTTCTAATTGATAAGATTCAAGAAAACTCTATGGAGAAGAAAGACCAACTTGGACCAGTTTGAATTGATTACAAGAAGACATTGGACTCCCTGTCACATGATTGAATAACTAAGTACTTAGAAATAACAAGAATGAATAGAAACATCAGAAGCTTTGTGTAAAGATCAATGAACAATGTAAGCACAGTTGCTGGCCAATAGTGGTAGACTGGGAAAGGAGAGGAATATTTCAAGGAGACTCACTATCACCAAACAGTATCACCAGTTTGTCCTTGGCAACACTTTATTTACCAAGATAGTGTGGAATATTGCAAGTACATCAGGTAGTTAGGAAGAAAAATAGGCCATTGGAAGAATATCCGAAGGACAGTGAAAAAGATGCACTGATCCAGTAATTTTAAATGGCTAGTTCTAGTCTCTAACCTTTCATTTCTGAGAAAAGTTATTAGGCAATGGTAGCAGAACTACTGTACGTAGAATTCTATATGAAGTGTATTATCTGGACCATATTCAGTTCGAGGTTCAGGCTGGTAGAGTAGATAGCAACTATCCTACTGTTGGAAATCAAATGCCAACCTGATGTGCCCAGAAGGATGTTTTTGGCTGGAAGAGTTTTGTGGAACAGAGAGTCAGAAACTATACTGACCAATAAAAATATATTTCATAAAATAAATAAGAAAAAGTTAACTCCAACACCAATGGTTGTTAAAAAGCATTAGTAGACAATGATTGCACATACTATAGTGGAATTCTGTTAGATTTTTCTTGATTGTCTAACAAATAATGCAAATAATAAAAAAGGAATCTTGTGGAAATTTAAGTAAAAAAGGAATAGGTTTGTTTGTGTTGTGTGAGAATTGACTACAGTCCCGAAGAAGGTTACTTCAGGAAATGTTGGAAGCTATTTAATTAAGCTAAAATTGTATTGTTGTTATTAGTTGCGAAGCCATGTCCAATCCATTGCAACCCCATGGACAACGTTCTTCCAGGCCTTCCTTCCCTCTACCATCCTCTGGAGTCCATTTAAGCTCACACCTACTGCTTCAGTGACTCCATCCAGTCACCTCATTCTCTGTCGTCCCTTTCTTCTTTTGCCCTCAATCTTTCCCAGAATTAGGCTCTTTAAAATGTATTTACTTTATGTATATTATGTAAATTTGAAATTGATCTTGTTGCCTTCTATCACCAACTTCAGTTTGGTTGACCTACAGACTCCTAAAGTTTTTGTTTTGCTTTACTTTTGCATTTAGCTGTGGTGACTGAGGATGTTCTCTTTAGTTCTCTGCAGAGTCCCCTTATAATGAAGGGATGGTGGCAGTAAGGATACCTAATCTTTCATTTATCATTTGCCCACAGAAGTGCCTATCTCAGAAATGAAGGACTCCTGAGCATGCCTTTTTCCTCTTTACACCTGGTTATGACATTGAGCTGCAATTGATTACTCAAATTATATTAACAATAATACAGTCTTTATTATTTTTATTTTATCCATACAAATTTTATAGAGCCATGAAATGGAAAGTTAGATGAAAATATGTAATGAAGACTAGTCATAAACCATTCCTTTTCTTCCTAGGTGTGATCTGAGTAAGAATAATAAGATTCCAAGCAGCCATGTCTGTTTTAGGGTTGGAAGATCCCAAAAAGAGCTAAAGCTATCCTGAAAGGTGTTAGGGTATTACTGAACATATGAACACATAAGGCAATACTTTTTTAAATTGTAAACCAAGCAAAATATCCACTTGGATGAATCTTTCTGGAAGTTTTGACACTGTACTAATTATTTCTGGTACTGTATGGAAACATACTTCTCAGAGAAATCTGATTAAGTTCTTACTTCTTTTTAAAAAATGAAAGGGAAATGGGATTTTCATATGGGTAATCAATCACACTCATCAAAACTTAAAAATGGGTACAATTTCTCAGTTGACTGAATGGTAACAGTGGTTATAAGAAATGGTGTCTGCATACAGGACCTATAGAAATACATTTTTCTGGATTCTTGATCCAGAAACAAGCCAATATTTGAATAAGGGAAACTCTTTTTTTCAATTTTTTCCTTATTTTGACTAGAAAGCAAATCTCCTCTGACACTTCTTAGTGCCCAGTGTTCTTCTCCAAGTGGCACAGAAAATTTCTCCTTTCTGGCTCTGTCCCTTTGAGTCTGACTCAGCACCCCCAACTCCCAGTCCAGCCTCTCTCCCACCTCTACCTCCCAGTAGTGCTTCCCAGAAACATAACCCTCTTTCCCCACAACCACTAGAGACCCTCTAGTAGATTTTCCTTTTTCAAAAGCTTTAAGGGTGGCTCTCTGGTCACCATTGCTGATGGTGATGGCTGGATGCTTGTAGTTTGAATCCAAATAAATGGCAACTACAAATAAAAAAAAGAAAACAGTGACAGGGGGAAATAGCTTTCATAAAAGTAGATATATTAATTAGTTTCACCACAAATGTTTCTTTTTATAAATGGCTTGATTGCACCTCTGATGCAATACATTTTTTGTTCACAGCTACAAGCATCAAGCTGGAGCTAATGCAGCAGCATTTTTCAAAGTATCTCAAAGCATAGTTAATATTTAATGAAAAGCTTTATGTTTTTCATTAAATATTAACTATGCTTTGGGACACTTGAATACAATATTTTATTTGTATGATTCTTCTTATTAGTAAGATCACAATGCCATCAACTATATGAAGACTTTCATGCATATTGGATATGATCAACCACATTTCCAT